GAAATGTCACCAAGATACTCTTAATCTTACACGGGAAAAGACCCGAACACACCTAGACATATATATATATATACTGCAGTTAAAAGGAAGAAGCAGCTGCAAGCTCACATTACTCCGAGAAACACAAAGCCGAAGACACAAGCCTGAAGATGACGAATGAGATTTTGTCGAAACGTCACCAAGATACTTCCAATTTTACGTGGGAGAAAACCCGAATAACCAAAGATCCACATATATAGTTTTATTGGTTTTGTCCTTATGACACTAAGAATTGCCTTGTGGTGAGATGGGCAGCAATCAAATTTAATAAATAAATATCCGGTTTCACAAAAGAAACAAAAAGAAAAAATTCTACGTAAAAATTCTACAAAAGCTTTGTGATCATTATGGAAGCAAGATATATAGGGACAGGTAAACATCTGAAAATATTTTTCAACAAGTTATATTTTAAGAACTGTTTGGTGGGATTAGCAGAAGAAAAATTTTAATCCTTCCATAAGACCAGTATGTACATCCAAAAGTACATATGTACATCCAAAAGTACCACTGAATTAGATTTGAATATAATCCCTTTCAAAATACACTTTTCGCAAAATTGAGAAACTTTATATCCCCAAATATAACTTCTTTCTTTTCTTCTAGGGTCCCATGATGAACTTCTGTCTCCTTCTGCTTGCCTGGTGGTAGGAAAAGTCGTCAAAGGAGGAACTGGCTTATTTGATCTTAAGCAACCGCTAAAATAGATGTTTGTTTTTTTTTACAAAAAAAACCTTTAACTTGATTTTATTCTAAAGAATAAATTTGCTGCTATGCATTTTATTTTATTTTTTTAGTGTTTGCTCTCTGAAAGTATCATTAATTAACCTTTCTAATTTAATAACTACCTGCATCTTTGGATTTTCAGAGGTTATATTTAATAATAAATATGGTGTGTTCATCCTTTAATTCTGGCAAGTGAGTTTATTGAACAGTCTATATAATTTAGTTTTAAAATATTTTTCTGGATCATCTAGTATAAAAAGTATCTTTGTGGTAGCAGCTTCTCTTATCACATTCAACAAATTTACATAAAACAACATAAACTGAATATATACTTAAATGTCCCTAAAATATTGGTGATTCCCAAAGTTTAAAGGAAAAGTCAGTTGAGTTTTTGACATGCTTTTGTTGTTGTTTTTTGCCTGCTGCCTGTAATCAGAAAACAAATTAGCACTCCATTACATAAATTGTAGCAGGACATACCTTTGATACTGGTTATGGCTGCCTGAAGTGGGATCCTGAAGATTAAGTAACAATTGCTAGAATGAATACAATAATTTTTTTTTAATAAATCCAATATATTCATGTGGGAAAGATTCTCCCATGATCTGTGACAGATATTAGTGGGAGAGGTCATCTGTCATGGTAGGATGATAGTAGGATGATAGGACTGTGGGAATCAGCAGAGGTTCAGCAGTCTTTCAGGACTTCCCCCTCCATGCCATTTGCCTAATGGAGAAGAGCCAATTTTTTTTTCCTAATTTGAACCCAGTAGAATATTGAATCCTGAAAAATATTCCCTGCGGTTGATACATCTTCTTAGCTGCCTCCACTTCTTTCCATCCCAGCAAGTGTGATAAGGGCAGGAATTAGTTTACCCTTTGGGAAAGGGAATCCCCTTCAGCACACATTCCTGCAGGGCAGTTCCTCTCTCTACTTTCATATAACTGCAACAGTTACCTAGAATTTTTGCGGTGCAGCAAAAAGATGTTTTCTTTGTTTTGGACAGGATGGAAGTATATTGCAGAGGAGGGAAGATAGAGAAAAACGATGCAGCAATATCAGCAATCACAATACAATTTTCCATTTAATCACTGCATTTTATTTATTTATAACCAACTTTATATTATTTTGGACAGGCACTACGCCGAGTTCGTGGTTTAACCTTTGCTTTATTTTAAAAACGTCTTGCCTGATGAAAAACTAAATAGATGAACTCAGATTAATTGTTCAAAATATGGACGACAATGAGTGAAAAATGTTCCCATTAAGAAACAAAGACGAAACTTTTATCTTTCATACTACATTTCTGTCGTTTGATAGAAACCTACATTAGAGGCCAAAATATATTTTGCTATTTTTGAAGATTTCTCAGAACCGAAAGTCCTATCTTTAAGGTATAGGATGTCGGCTCTACACTTTCCTCTCTCTTTGGCGCCGTCAGCCCGCTTCGGAATTTGTCGAGTTTCTTCTCTTCCCGCCTTCAAAACTGTGACGATTGGCCAAAGGGGACGATGGGTTCCTGGGAAGCGGAGTGACCTCAAAGAATCGCGACCTCCTGCGCGCCACGAAAGATGCGCGCGCAGGCGACTCAGGGCTCTCCAGGTTGCCGTGGGAAACAGAGGAGACGAGATAAGTAGGGCCTCGCGGACACTGCGGAGGCTGAGTTAAAAGAGAGAGAAGAGCTCTCGCGATTTTCCTAGTCTCGCGCGATTTCCTTTTCAAACGTATTTTTTTGTCCCTGTTCCGAGTTTATTTATTTTTTCCTGTGGACGCAGAGTTCCGGAGCTCTTTAGAGGAGGTCCACCGTCCGAGTGAGGTATCTCATATTACCTTAATAGAGTAGTACTTTTACGCGTTTGTATGTTTGTCCGGAGTCATAAAACAGCGCTGGCAGCTACCCTGGATGCTGAAAGCATCTCCGATGGCACTGCTTAATCGAGAATACATCCATTTGCTTGGTTGGGGCAAGAGGGCTTTCCTCGCATCCCAACAACGACCATCTCGAGACGCGGCATTGGCAGCCGGGGTGGCGGTGGCCGTTCTTTTATTTGTCCCTATGGCTGTTAGCTATGACTGGGTCGCCCTCCACTAATCGGTCTATTCTTAAAGACATCCGAGGACGCCGCATGTTATTTTTTTTTATTCTCCTTAAAAACAAAACAGTCCTTCCAGGACTATAGAAACAATCATGTAATCCTGCATTAATATGTTGTTTGTTTGTTATTATATTATATTTGGCTTGTTGAAAAAATAAAAGTAATGGCTGAGTTCTGTCAGAAAAATAATTTGGAGTTACAGCTCGAGCCAGGACTGCGCAAGGATAAATAAAAATGACATCCAGACAACTGTGAGGAAAGAAGAAATATTTATTCCTAAAAGCAAAAAGTTTGCCTTTAGGGGCAGACTGCAGAGAAACAGGATTCAGCAGCAGATTTTTATAAGGAGAGCCTGCCCAGGGTGTCACATTCTAGAGTGAAACTTGAGGGGTGTTGTGGGGAGGTAGATACGTTTATTCTTCAGAACATGCAGTTCCTCTGGGAGACCTAATTTAATTAACTGGTTGTGTTTGCAGACCTTCTCCTTTGATATGTGGATTTGATCTGGGTAACATATTTGAGGAATTTTGCTAATTTTATTTGATTAACAGTTTCAGCTTGACTGTCAGTTATCTAGTGGATTCTCAGATCATTGTGGATTCTGTTAATATTTTAAGGGAAGATGGAAACACTAAACAATAAAATATATTTCGATCTAAAATTTCTCACAATCATCTCCTTGTACATATATATGGAGAGTATATATATGTACACTATTAATGGCTGTAGTTTATAACATACCTTTTGTCTATTTGTAACATCATAAGGAAAACATAAGGAACTGCTGGTTGCATCTGCATTACATCTGAATTTCCTAGAGGCTGCTGGAAAGAGAGCTACTCGCAGTGAGTTCAGGGGGACTGAGACAAAGTCCAGTGGAGCAAGGTAAGCACCTGGAAGTGGCTAAAAATCTGAAACAGCAGCAGTACATTCTTGGTAAGTGCATCTGTGATTGCAATTCTATTTTATTTTAGAATGTCTCACTTATTTCAGTGCAATACTTGTGCAACTTGGTACTCTTCGCGGTACTCTTTTCAGATTTGGATACTGTCCTGTTTGTAAACAAATTACAAGCCTACATGGACAGATCGCTTACCTAGAGTCTCTGCTTTTCAGGCAGAAATTAGGTGTCCAGCTCAACAATTCTGTTCTATTGAGCTGCCCCACTATAAGCCCCCTCTACCACAAAGATGCTGCACGAGAAGGGCAATATAAACAACCGTGAGATTTGACAAGGTGAGAGCTGTGAATTACAAACACAAAGCTTTCACTGTGTCACTGAATAACAGATACAGTGCCCTTGCTGACCTTATTAGGGATGCTAAAGTGGCAGGTCAAGGTAGTTCTAATAACAATAACTCAAATGAGCAGGGGATCATGTCCGAAACGAAGAACTTGTTTTACATAGGGGAAAGTGTTAATCAAGCATTATACATCAGTCATACAACAAGAGCAAGGTATCCAAAAAGAGAACTGACCTTCTGATTGATGATTCAATTGTAAGGCATGTAAATTTAGGAAAGGATACAGAGGTGTGTTTTTTTTAAACAACTTTTATTCAATTTTTCCGAAACAACATAAAAAAGAGCTATTTTCGGTATACAACATAATTCTGAGTCACCACTTCTACAGGCGAATATGACAGTAATTATATATTCATTTTTACATTCAACATCCTGTCTTGTCCATTTTTAACTTAATTCTATTATTCTCCATTTCAACTTTTACGTAAGAAAAGGAACAAACACATTAATGTTAAGTGATACTACTTTCATTCTAAACATCTTCTCAATTGATTTCAAATATATTTCTT